CAAACAATATTATGGAATTATGAAAAACAAATAAAATGTTCTTTTCCGAGTAGTTGTATCCCCCGCAAGATCACAGATTTTAAACATTTAAGGAGGTAAAATAAACTACGTTTTTTAACTGCAAATAATGCTTGAAATAAAGATGAAAAAATGGACTACACAAAATCAAAATTAGTAACATCTACATCGTTTCTTATATTTTTTTCAAAATTTCAGAATCAAATATAATGAACAGTAAGTCAATGCATTATTTCTTGATTATTAAATGTTACTGCATGCTTAAAGCATTTTTAATCATATTTTGTATGTGCCCTTGTAAGAAGTTAGTCTTCGCAGAATGACGAACAGTACTGACAAGGGTAATTTTAAAATCTGAATCTTAGCATGAAACACTTCCTTACACAGACAGAGAGCCAGCAATGGCAAACAGTACTAGTAAATCAGTAGCGATGTTTGAAGGAATACTTCCCCTGTGAATTCCGACCGCCCTGGCTCCTATGTTTCTGGACTGATTTACAATACTCCTCATCATTACTGATCTGTAAATTATCACTTTCGCTCTAACCATCATACTCTCACCAGTCGTCTTATCAAATATTTATCCATTTTCATACCTTTTCACATTTCTGTTCTAGCGTCATTTGTCAGCAAGCCATGACGCTAACATGAAAATAAGGATTACGGTATGCGGAAAACGAAACGAAGAAGATGGAATCAAGAAAAGTACGGTTAATTTGGCATAAGGTAAACGAAGCGAACCAAAATTAGACAAAAAAGACACGGAAATTGGTAAGGTTACACGTGCATGAGCTAATGGTGAACCATTTGCGCCCTTTGCTGTTTTTGAGGATAATTCTGTAATGTAACTAAACATAACAGTAAACTGGTCAATAAAAATAGATCACCAATGAGTATCTATGTCGTGCATTGATAGCTTAATCGCTTGTTATTCTACAAAGGTTTGAGAAGACAGAAATCTCTCTCTCTCTCCAATAATTACCTTTATTAATTGTTTGTTTTTAATTATGCACAAAGCTACACAAGGGCTATCTGTGCTCTGCCCACCACGGGTATCGAAACCCGGATTCTAGCGTTGTAAGTCCGCAGACATACCGCTGTGCCACTGGGGGGCACCTTTATTAATAACTCTCGCAATAATACTATTACTCGTAAAAAATATTAGTACTATTAGTGATTTATCTGGCAAGTACTGGTGAAATCGAGAAATACAAAAAAAAACATATCAAAAGTAAATATTTTGAAATGGTTTCTTCCTTATGTTTTGAATGAATTCATCTAGGAAGCGTGATGAGTCTTGGTAGAAATGAAAGACCTTATAATCTCAAGTGTGAACCCTACGAGGGAAGCCCTAACTTCTCTTCATTTTTTATTACGCCACAGAAAAAAGATCCTGCTGCTATCGAAATTTCTAAGTAATCAGTCTTTTGAATATTATTATTTATCTATATAACAGAGCATATTCCTGTAATGCAATATAACGCTTACCTATAATAATGAATAAGCCTAGCGGTTAGCGTGTTCGGTCTGTGAATGCGACAATTCTTGGCTCGTGTCCCGTTGTCACAAAAACGCGCTTTGCACTTTAGAGCTTTCGGTGCGCTATAAGTAGTGATGGTCAAATCCCAGTATTCTGTCAGACAAGAGTAGCTCAAGAGCTGGCGGTGAGTGTTGTGACATTAGCCGTCTTCCCTCCAGTCTATCAGCTCAAACCTATGGACGACTACGCGTAAATAGTCCTTGTGTAGCTTTGCGCGAAAGTTCTAGAGCAAACGAACAACATCACAAAACAAAATTCTGTATATATTAAAAAATACGTTTTCGCATAGTGGTACTTGCTTAGTAATATTGTATTTTTGCATATGTTGCTGATATAACACCAGAAGGTGGCGTTTAAACATTCTTATTATTTTCCGGATCACTGCGTGTTTTTTACATGGTTACATGGTACGCAATGTTGTCCGTCAAATGTAGTCTCATGTGTTTAAAAAACCAACAAAAAATACAAGTTAATTATTCCAAGAAAGCAAAAACAAGTTCAAAGCAAAACAATTTCAATTGCACCTAGGCCTAAATCCGATAAAAGAACTCTACATTAAATTATACTGTTATAACTGTTATATAGAGATTCACCAGTTTTATGCAAGCAACTGTAGTTGTTAAGACAAAGATCAATCTTTTGTTTATTCAACTAAAATGATTGAAAAAACATGAAAAGTGAAAAACAATATAAACAAAACTTAATTAAATAAAAGTAATTTTCACTCTTTCTTTTTACTTCCTTCAAATGCTTTGAAAGGTTTATCTTTGTTATCTTAACTGTATTAAGATAACTGTTATCTTCCAGTTTCTTCTATGTTCGGATTACTTACAGTTTAAAATGTCAAAGTGTGCGTCACGGTTATTAAAGATAATGCAATATTCACGTATCATTTGACGTCGAAGAACACTTAGTTCCATTGTGTCTTAACAGTAAATTAGGTTGCAGAAGTGAACAACAGATGACGTTGTTAATAACACAGAAGTACTAGTGTATAGAGAAGAACGCACGCGTTGTCTTCGGTATTCTTCTCGAGTAATTTCACGAAATGCAATCATATGATAAAAACACATAAGACTTTCACGCCGCCACAGTCTTTTTTTGGGAGCTTAGGAATTAGCATTTGTTAATTAAAGTGTGAGCGAGTGCTTGGTCTAATTTGCTATTCAAAGAGGATAATATTTCATAAAATCGACTGGTGAGACTTGAAACAAAAGAAAATATGTACTGGATATCGATCTTCCATACGTCACAGTTCCTGCCAACTTTTATTTTGACCGGGTCTTGGTCTCATATATTGGATTCCATTGCTCGAAAAGAGATTTAGAAGTCTTAGGTTTCAATAAACAGCATAACAGCGTGTCCATTATTTTACATAAAGAAGGAACAATACTTAATATGCAAACAGAAGATTAACACTCGTTATTAGGGTTTGTCGCCCACGCTAGTTGCATGGGTCACGTGATTTGTCCCTCTAGTGGTGGCTGTTAATATCCTGAAAGGTTCGGTAAGACACGATCTACCCCGAATCCGTATAGAGTAATGTGTCGTGCGTCTTGAGCTGAGGTGAGCGCTCGTAAGTTACATAGCTCTAAAACTGAGGTTTCAACGCTACTGGTACTGGTTGGACTAGCATGACATCAGAAGACTCGTGAAAGGGATAACTTCAATCTATCAGGTCACTTTTCTAGATGTAGTGGAAATCTACCAAAATCATGACTCATCGGTTAGCTCCCTGGTACAGCATTTCCGTCCTGTTTGTTTGTGGCATGTCATTGTTCCTTCAAGGTAAGTAAAGTACATCGACTTATCATAAAATATCAGTCTAAGTAATTCTCCTTTCCCGCTATCCTGTTATATCTTTCTTAACAATCAATCTATGTTTCATTCTCAAAAAATCTGATGACTTTATTATACAATCAGGGAAGATCTTGTTGGTGTCGACATTCATAACCGAACATTATCTGTGATAAAATTATTATTTATCTATACAATACAACATGCTCATGAAATTCAGGATAAAGCTTACCTATAACAAATAATTTAATAGTAATACATCAAGGGCATAGGTCTACGGATGGGCTAAGTCGCATATATTTTAGAAAAGAATAACTTTAACCCTTTTTGACTTATCTGTCTGTTTCGAATAGATGTGAAGTCACTAAAACATCGGCCTTCTTCCATTTCATTGTGTTAAAATTAAATCTCAGTTGTTGTTTTTTTATTAGTAGTAAAACTAGTTTATTGATATTTTGTATCCTTTTATTGATTTATTATTGTTCTGCTTCTGCCAGTATTTATTTCTCTGTTTAAGTTGATGTTTACAGTTACAGAATCACAGTTCCATTTGGCTTCACGGATAGTAAGTCACTGGTTTTTTGTTATTCAACTGTATTGTGTATGGTTATATTTTCCTATAAGGTACAGTTGCTATATTTCTATTAAACAGTAAAAATATTTATTCGTTGCTGTGTTTAATTGATTCTGTTGAATTGTACAGTTATTGAGTTGTTTTTTTCATTTGTACCAAAGTATAGGACTCACGAATCATTGTTCTGTTTGTATTATATAACAAGGCTACTAAATCATTGCTATACTTATATTAAATAATAGGACTACTGAGTAATAATGGAGTTCCTTTTATATAATAGGCTTATTGATTTTTGTATTTTTGCTTTTATTAGACAACAGGTTACTGACTTTCTGTTCTGTGTTTATTAACAATAGTGAGATTAATGTATCAGTATCGTAAACAATATTGCTACTGAGTCATTAATCTGTTTCTTTTAGCTAGTAACGACACCAAGTCACTATTCTGTTTTTATTGGATAGTGAGGTTATTATTAAAGCATTATTGTATATATATATATATATATATTATA